TCCGGTGCCAAAATTTTGCCAACGGGTTCCCGAGTCAAGTGTCACCCCAGAGCCGCAGGACCAGCCTTCACGCGCGACTAGGTCCCGCGCACGAGTGCGTGAAAGTTTTGGCAAGAAAATCGCTAACTCGGGAACCAGAAATCTAGAAAGCTGAAATTTTAACGGAATGTTCCCTGACCTAGGACCATGTAGTTGCACAATTAATTTCCTAAACTTCGAGGACCAGTATGCCATTTCTAGCTACTGGGGCTCCAAGCGATCTCACGACAGACGAAATACCGCAAAAACGGGATGATCGCACAGGCCTGCCCGGTACACATCATTAATGATTTTTAATTTTAGACAGAACTGACAACCATTTACTCTGCAGCCAGATTGTTTAATAAACTGAAATTCTGTGAGATGTTTACTATCCATGTGCAAACCTGGAAGCGTAAAATTAGCGTTTGCTTTTGCGTATGCTTTGTGCACGAACGCGTCAAATTTTCAAATTGCAACACTTTTATCACCATTCTTCCTCGATAATCAGAAAGCCAAGAAAGCAGGAATTTTAAGAGGATGCTGACGTATTTTTTGCGCCACTAAAAGCATAAAACTTGAGAATGCGCTTTGCCGACAAACCTAAATGCAAAATTGGCAACTACCGAAACTCGGCTTGGACAGGCCGCGCAATATATAGTCGTTTTTGAGTGTTTTTTTAAATTCATTTTCGGCCTGCGAAAATCATGGTACCTGTTTTTTTTTTGCCCAACTGGGCTTCTAGGTGTTACGTTCAAGACTGCTGTTCTTGTCTCAGCATTAAATTCCATGCTGAGCATAAAAAACTCATACAGGTTCCTTCTCCCATATACCCCACCTGTCCTAATTCCCACCTCCAAACAAGGCAGCAAATGAAATAATCTTCGGGATCTAAATTACCTCCACTCCCCATCTCTCATTCCCTCCCACCGCTACCTCAGTGATTGCAACACGCCTCCTAACCCGGCCGAACCGAGTCTCGACATTTGCTAGTTGTCTGTGGAACTCAGGGTAATCATACAAGCTGGAGGTAAGATTTCATGCGATCCTACCGTGCAACACTGTTGTCCCAGCCGATATCCTTTTTTCCCCTACATGCAGGTGCAATATCAGATGAGTGTGCACACGTTGAACTGTAAGGCAACAGTCATTCATGCTGTTAGCGATGTGACTGCTTCAAGATTCGCGCAAAAACGCATGACCGCACCGGAGCTCCTAGCGAGCGTTGCCACCTGGGTTTGATAAAAGCGCCAAAATTGAAGCAAGCCGCCTCATTTTTTGGAAGCTTCTGCGTGATCGATTTTTTTAAAGAGTAGTAAACCAGGAGAAGGGCGCT